ACAATGACATAAGTATTATGATTGATTAAAAACTTACCTCTTTAATATGTAATATCGTGACTCCAGTAATATCATGCCTTCTGGATGATATCGGGTATATAGATTCGAGATAATCGGCAGGAAACTTCCTCTCACCTAATGTCAAGGTCTTCTCAAGTCTTTGCAAGTCATTTGTAGATAATACTTCTTCATTCATCAACCAGTCGTCATTTTGCTTCAAAAAAAATTTCGAATGAATTAATAAGCATATTTTCATAGCAGGATATACTACTGAATCCCTGTTATTTTGATTGAAAAATTGTTGATTCACTCACAATGACTATCGATATATATTTGGAAAGGTGCCTACTTACCAAGGGAATTCAATGTTATACCTTCACCAGCTCTCTACAAGTTCTGAATTTGTTAGATATTTATATTCTAAGACAATTCCACCTATACACACTCGATAAAACATTCAGAATTTTCAAACTTCGCAGCTTAATGCCGTTTCGCCGTTGTGGGCCTGTCATAATGATGTGAGCATGGTCAATAATGATTGAAGACTGAGGCCTGAGTTTTGGCAACAGGATTGCTTACCCTTGATTTCCGAGGGCGTATTATTTTCTTCCAAAGAAATACCTATTCATTGACTTGAATCAAGTTAATGAAGTATTGAATCAAAATGTGGCTTCTTCAATTAGAGAAATTATTAATATCATCAAGTTCATCAAGTTGAAGATATTATATTCCATTCATTTGAGAAAATTGATATTGATATCTTTGAATCAAGTAAATATGGCATTGAATAAAACTATCAGGAGTCTTCGATTTGATGGAATTATAATACCAATATGATGAAATTAGAATGCTTCATTTAAAGAAATAATTATTTATATTTTTGTTTCAAGAAAATGGCGTATTGCCTCAACATTTTAGGTTTTTGCAATTCAAGAAAACTGAATAAGTGAATATGTCATTCGATGAAATGAACATTCTTTAATTTGAAGAAATGTATACTTATATTCTTGGATCAAGCAATAAATTTATTGAAACAAAATAGTACGCTTCTGCGAATTGAAAAATCGTTTTGATTGAGTTGAAGTAATTAATTTAGTAATTCAATAATTACATTCTTGGTTTGAGAATATATTTCAATAATATGACACTATTTTCTTGAACATACCAGATTTCTCGACTCAAAAGAATATGCTCAATTCAAAGAAGATATACAATTGAATTTTCAAGAGAATCGGTTTTCTCATTCGAAGAAATTTCTTTTCTGTGTGTAGTATAATGATGCTGGTATAAAATGAATTTTATTGAGTTCAATCTTCTATTTATTCAGGTTCAAAAACAATAAAATTATTCTTGTGCTGAAGTTATTGATGGAACAAGAGTCAGAATCATAAGTAGAAAATTAAGAGATATTTGACTAGAAACATGAAATATTGAATGAGTTAGAGTAAGTGTTCAAAATGTCCTACGTTCCGAGGAATACACGATTTCATATTATTTTTTTAAGAATGAATTATTCTTCTGAACAGTTAAGGATCAGCTGTTAGGTCATTAAAGTGATGTTCAATTATGTTCAATTATGTCTCACAACTCTTGACGTGAATTTACCTATGTAGCATAGACTTTCTGCTCAAGATACAACAAAACTGTGTAATCCATGTTCTTAGTCAAATCCGTTTCGATGTTATTCTTGTGATTCATTGTATTAATGAGTTTTGCATCAGAAATGTATTGTTGTTTTCGGTTTTCAATAAATAGGTGATAATTTTTCATAATACTCACTCTAATACATAGCTTTATACCAGCAACAGTTGCCACTTCATCATTTTCAAATCGAAATATTCCGAAAACGGAACACACTATCAAGTTTTACCAAGAGTGTGAAATTGAATGATGTTCAAGTTCACATCAAATTTGGATTGAAAAATCTAACCTCAAAAAAGTTATGTTCAAAACTACTCGGTACGAACCGTGTAACTAGCGCCCTCTATGAGAGTCAGATATTAAAATAAATGCATGCGATGTGTCAGATTCCAAGGAACATCCATTCACAATTTCATCACAATGTTGCCAGTAGTTTCAACATAATCGTAAAAAATGTGTAAAAAAAATATTGTTTCAACACTTTGTATCTTGAAAACGGATGGCGTTACGACATTTTTTTTACTGAGCAAACCCAACTTATTTTGCAGTGTTCTACCTACCCTAGCAAGGGGGTTAGGTTTTTTTGAAACACCCTGTATATATAGCATGAAGGAACTGAATATAATAATTAAAATTAATATTCGACGCCTACTCAAGAAATGTTACATTCCTCACTGCATATGATATAAAACAATTCCGCATTTATTTTTATATTTCTGACACAGAATTCAATGGACGCATATCTATATATACTGTGTACAAAATTTTGAAGAATTTGCTCGATTGAAATTGGGTGGGCCAAATTCAATTTCACGCAAGGTCATTGTCAATTTTGATTAATCAATTTGATTCAAATTACTTGGAACGTTGCATAGCAATACACTTTTTCTCTCTAGACATGTAAAAGTACACCTTTTCTACCTGTTGAGTGTCATTAAAAATCCACTTTTAATGTCATTTGGAGAAAATAGTCATTTGTTTATCAAAAATTCTTCGTTTTCATAAAACCATTTCCAAAGCATCATTGTGTTCGTCATGAAAATTGATCCTCAGGCGCTCAAATCAGTCCCATATATACCTACCTATAGTTTCAAAATAGAACCTTTCCTCCAAGAAAAACAAGTTATATATAATCTTGAGATATATAGAAAGGCCGAGAACGTACAATTTTTGAAAAAAAACATATTTGTAGCCACTTTTCAATAATGCCCATTATCGAAGAACACCTTGTAACTTGGAAACGAAGACAGATATCGTCAGGCATCGACATCAGTTTTCTTCCATCTGGTTAGAGAATAGGACTTTCCCTTCAAAAGTGACCAATTTCGCCCACCCTGTACACCAACCCCATATAATATATGTGATATAGGAATATTCAAATTCAGTTTTCTATAGAGGTTCCATGCAGATATTGAATTATGTTGATGATATAATATAGGTATAGGTATTCCATTTGAAAGAATGATCGCGCGGGGATGTCATATATTACTCAAAACGTGGACCACCCTGTATATTATATTTTCCATTATAAATATGTTGAAATGAGATTGAAAATGGACCGATTTCAGGAGATTCCTCAGAAATGAATATGGTACGGCCAAAAATTAATTTATTCATTATACTTACTTTACGAAAGCACATTATGAACGTGGTCATCGTGAAGTTAGAATAGCGTGAGCTAGACTTCGCCTCTCAACATTTTACTAGTATTGTAATATGTACATTACAAAAACAATAAAGGCAATTTATTATTATTATTATGTATTATTATTATATAAAAAACTTGACAACTATCGTTCCTAGATTGCATCATAAGCCGCGCGTGAGGATCCTTGTGTCGTTTACTGTACTATAAACGATCAACAATAATAATCTAGTCAATCTCGCTCAAACATCAGGCACTATCTGAAGACGGATAGATTTGGAGATTTTCATGAATTATATTTCCTAGGGTCTGCAAATGTTTATAACATTATGCAGCGACTTGATCATACATTTAGATTTCGGGCGCTATTTTTGAGAATATTGTATTTGTTTATTCTTTTCACGAATGCATTCATATCCACGAGGTAAAATAGAATGAAAATTCTAATTTAAACATTTTCGAGCATATGACATTTGACATAAAGATTGCACTTGTTTTGACCTGTTGAACTAGAATAATGAAAAATATATATAGGGTCTTCCATAATATTTTTTGCATTATAGGAATACGCGATCGCATGAATTTCTTCCGTTTATGTTTAGAACACTTTGTATACACAATTATACACTTATATCGAAGAGAAATCTGAATTCCGAGCAAAAAATCTGAATTCGAAAAAAAAAGTTGGAATTTATAAAAAAAAGTCTAAATTTAGCCTGAATGAAGCCTTGATTCCGAAAAAAATCCTGCAGTCAGAAAAAACAAGTCTGGTGACTCCAATCTGAATTTACTGAAAAAGTCTGAATTCAGAAAACAGTCTGAAGTCAGAGAAAATGTCAGAATTTAAAGAAAAAAGTCTGAAATCACAAAAATGAGTTTGAATACAGAGGAAAAATACTGAATTCAGAAAAATGTGTGACTCCAGAGGAAAAATCTGAATTTACAGAATACAGTCTGAATTCACAAGACAACCTGAATTCAGAGACAGTCTGAATTCAGTGAATAAAGTCAGAAGTCAGATAAAAAGTCAGAATTCGGAAAGAAAATTCTTAATTCATAGAAAAATGTCTGAATTCAAAGAAAAAAGTGTATGAAGTCAGATAAAAGGAGTCTGAAGTCAGCTTAAAAAGTCTGAATTCAGGAAAAAAATCTCTGAAAAAATTCTGGATCAAGAGAAGAGGAAAGAAGTATGAAATCAGGTGGAAAGAAATCAGTGTGAAGTTCAAAAAAATATACTGAATTCGAAGAAACAATAAGTCTTGAGTCAGAAAAAATTTATTATTATTATTAAAAGTCCAAAATGGCTCAATTCAAAGAAAAAAGTCAGAATTTACAGAATGAAGTCTGAATTCAGGGAATAAAGTCAGAAGTCATGGAAAGAAGTCAGAATTTGGAGGGTAAAATCTTAAGTCAAAGAAAAGAGTCTGAAGTCAGATGAAAAAGCCTGAAATCAGAGAAAAATGTCTGAATTCAGGAAAAACTCTAGTCAAAGAAAAAAATTCTGAATTCAGAAGGAAAGAGTCAGAGAATGAAGTCTGAAATCATAAAAAAAAGTCTACGGGTCAGCGCAGTGCGGCTTACAATGCTGAAAACTAGTTTTCATTCGGGTAAATTCGAGTCCTCAGATGGCGCTCCCCCTAGACTCCAATCAGTAAATAATCACAAGCAGAACCGTGCAGAACTCACTCTCACTCTCTCTCTCTCTCCCCGTCAGATCCGTACCAGCTACTCAACGCCGCCACCAGCCGATTGGTGGCGCAGGGCTCCGGCCAGATCCAACTGTGGCAGTTCCTGCTCGAGCTGCTCGCCGATTCGTCGAACGCGGCGTGCATCGCGTGGGAGGGGGCGAATGGCGAGTTCAAGCTCACCGATCCCGACGAGGTGGCGCGCAGGTGGGGGGAGCGGAAGTCGAAGCCGAACATGAACTACGACAAGCTCAGCAGAGCGCTCAGGTGAGAAGGAGAACGAACGATCGCGGTTTCGTTTTTTTTTAAATATTGCATGGTGGTCGTTCAAGGTCCAAGATTTGCCTCTTCGAATGGAATTGCTTCATAACTTGTCTATTTTTAGGGATACTTATACAGAGATATAGAAAAATGTCAAATGCAGAAATTTGATTGAAGCGATACGAATTTTTATTTCGCAGTTTTCTGCTTAACAGGTCCTCTCGTATCACTTTTTTAAGAAGCTCTAATATTTGCAAATTATGGCGAATGCTTTTGGTGGTTTTAATATTTGCAATGTGTGGCGAATGAGTTCGATTGATTTAATATTTGCATATTATGGCGAATGCGTTTGGTGGTTTCAATAATTGTAGTTTGTGGCGAATGCGTTTGGTGGTTTCAATATTTCTAATATATGGCGAATGCGTTCGGTAGATTTAATATTTGCTTGCATATTATGGCGAATGCGTTTGGTGGTTTGCATATTTGTAATTTGTGGCGAATGCATTCGGTAGCTGATATATAATAGAATAGATTTATTTCCAAGAAAACATGATACACATGTGTACGAACTAGTTCGAATGTTAAAAAATGTATACTTGACTAAGTACAAAAAATAATAATAATTGGTGGTTTTAATATTTGCAATTTGTGGCGAATGAGTTCGGTTGATTTAATATTTGCATATTATGGCGAATGCGTTTGGTGGTTTCAATAATTGTAGTTTGTGGCGAATGCGCTTGGTGGTTTCAATAATTGTAGTTTGTGGCGAATGCGTTTGGTGGTTTCAATAATTATAGTCTGTGGCGAATGCGCTTGGTGGTTTCAATATTTCTAATATATGGCGAGTGCGTTCGGTAGATTTAATAAAATAGAAAAGATTTATTTCCAAGAAAAACATGATACACATGTGTACGAACAAGTTCGAGTGTTAACAAATGTTATACTTGACTAAGTACAAAAAATAAAAATTTATAACAGAATAGACACATCGCCAACAGAAATAGACATATTTAGATAGAACAGAAAATACGTTGTGCATGATGAATATTTTTAGTACAGTAAAGAGAAAAGAAAAATCCTCAAATATTATTTGTTAGGGCGAAATTATCATCCATAAGGTATTCACCAACTGTATAGTGAGTGAGCCTTAGTAATTAAAATTTCTTTTATTTTTATCTTAAATATTCTAGAATTGAAGTTCTTTATATCGTTTGGGACCACATTATACAGGGTGTTCCTTAATGATATGCTACTATTCAAGGGGCCGATTCTTCGACCCAAGAATAAAACTTCAAATGAACATATGTCGTAAACGTCCTAACTTTTGAGATACAGGGTGTGAATGTTGAAAATATGCATAGATTATTTTTTTGTCCACCCTATATAGCTTTTCGTGATGGCAAAATTCAGTCTGCTATGTGACTGAATCGGTATACGAATTTCAAAATATTACATACGGTGGTTATCCAGTAATGGATGTTCTGAATGGAGTACTCAAACATCAAAATTTGAAGTCTGGTCTCGTTTTTCCGTTTTTTCTCGAAAACGAAGCGTTCTATCGAGTATCAACAGGAGGATCTTTCTCGTACATAATTGAAGAGCCTCTCATAGCATTGTATGAAATTTGAAAATTTTCCGTTGTTGCTCACTTTTAGGTAAAATATAAACAATAATTTTCTCGTAACGGTGCCACTGGTAGAGAAAATGAAAATTTTTGTACATCAGAAAATGCACCTTGATGTATAAAAGACGTGTACCAAATTTCAAAAAGATGTATACAATATTGTCTCAGTTATCATCATGCAAAATACTGAATATTTTTTAAAACTTCATCACCCTCTATCTCAAAAGTTAAGACTTTAAGGACATACGTTCATATAAAGTTTTCTTCTTGAAATGAGTCAGTGAATCACCCTCTCAAATATTAGCATGTCTTTAGGAAAACCCTGTATAATTTAGCACCCATGTGATGAGCGCTCTTTTGGAATAATATTGTGTTGTGTGAGGGTAGGATGATTATACTCGATATTTGCAAATTATGGCGGACACGTTTGGTGGTTTCAATATTTGTAATTTGTGGCGAATGCGTTCGTTAGGTTTGGCATTTGCATATACACTCAGTTCCAAAAGAAGTGACGCACTTGATATTTGACCTATCTTCTTAAAAAAAAATATATAGTAGGCCGATTTTTTTTTCATTGTTGGTTGGTAATGCATTTTTCTTAAAAAAAAAATAAAGAGGTGAAAATATTTTCAAAGTCTCGCAGAAATGGCAGATGCATTAGTGGAAGAATGGGATCGTATACCAATGGAAACGACAAGCAACTTAATTTCCAGTATGCCTCGTAGATTAGAAGTTCTTAGAGTTGCTAGAGCAGTGCCGGATTTAGGGGGGGGCTATGGGACTATCAGCCCCCGGCGGTGAATTTCAAGAGGCGGTAGAGAAAAAGAGAAAAAGCAAGCAGCAATACAGTCATGGAGATACTGTTTTTGTGAAAATCATAAGATGCACTAATCTAGCGTCAGTTGTTTCTTGGACGCTACAATACAAAAGCGGCGGCGGTACATAGGTACTTTTATATGATGATGTGAAGAAAAACCGCCTTCGACCCAGTAGAGTAGGGGTATTTCGTGATTCGTCTAACTCAATAACAAAAAACAAAATCAGAGTTCAGTATTTAATAGGTTGTCGTTGGTAATGGTACTAATAATAAATATTGAAACTGAAATTTAAAAAAAATGCGTGAAAATGAAGGTGGTGTATTCTGGAAACGACAGAAGATCAATAAACAAAAGCAGTTAGACGAAATTGTCAAGAAATGCTCTAAAATACATTCATTTTTTCTTAATTCAAATGAGACAGAATCAGAACTGACAGAATAACCGTCTCCGAGAACCTCACGATCTCAAGACGGGAATGGTAAGTTTTATATTTTTTTACATTCAATACGCGAAAAAGAAGAGTTAGAATCTCAAAAATAAATGATCGAAATATGAACACGACTAGGTGTTGGTCTAGGGATAATCACAACAAATTTCTAATTCATTGATTATGGGCAATTACATAGAATTTTTTTACTATCCCTGATGATTAGTAATGCCAGTAGTGAAAGGTCATCCTCAACTTTAAAAAGAGTGAAAAACTTACTTAGGAATTCCATGGTAGAGGATATATTGAATATCTTATCATTTTCAAATATTAACAGTGATATATGTTATTAAATCTGAATTTTGATGATGCCATTGACGACTTTGCATCAAAAAAATCAAGAAAAGTATTTTAGTATTCATCTGAAAAAAAATATTTGTTGTTTGTTGTTATGTTTAACGTGTGAAGTAAAAAATGATTTCATGTCATTGTTATATGCTGTTAAAGAAGTAGTATTTGAATTTTGAAACTGATAATTGAAAATTCAATATTTGGCGGCGGCGCGGCGGCATCGTAAAAGTTAGCCCCCGGCGTAAGGGAGTATAAATCCGGCACTGTGCTAGAGGAGGCAATACACGGTATTAAGCAGTCATCCCAATTTATAATTTTGTGTTCAATAAAAATGTTTTTTTCAAATTATTGGTAGGTATCAGTTTATTTCATTAGAAAATTTTTTCTCGATAAATTCAGAAAGTTGGTAATCTGCAAGGATTCAGCAAAAAAAAGCTGTAATTCGGAAAATTTTAGAGATAAATCAATGAATAAAAAAACAAAATGCTCGCAAAAGAAGCCTCTTTCGTATAGGGTGTAAGCACTTTGTATACCATTACTCAATTAACACACAGGGTGAGTCAAAAATTAAGAATAAATCATGGTTCGAGTTATTCCACCACCATCAAAGAGGCTTTGAAAAAATGTTCACCTCTTAATTTTTTTTAAGACAAATGCATTACCTACCAACAAATACAAAAAAAATCGGCCTACTATTTTTTGTTTTTTTTTCAAGAAGATAGGTCAAATATCAAGTGCGTCACTTTTTTTGGAACTGAGTGTATTATGGCGAATATGTTTGGTGGTTTCAATATTTGTAATTTGTGGCGAATGCATTCGGTAGCTGTAATATTTGCAGATTATGACGAACACGATTGGTGGTTTCAATATTTGTAGTTTTTGGCGAATGCATTTGATGGTTGCAATATTTGTAAGTTGTGACGAATGCGTTTGGTGGTTTCAATATTTCTAATATATGGCGAATGCGTTCGGTAGATTTAATATTTGCTTGCATATTATGGCGAATGCGTTTGGTGGTTTCAATATTTGTAATTTGTGGCGAATGCGTTCGTAAGGTTTGGCATTTGCATATACACTCAGTTACAAAAAAAGTGACGCACTTGATATTTGACCTATCTTTAAAAAAAATATATATAGTAGGCCGATTTTTTTTTTCATTGTTGGTTGGTAATGCATTTTTCTTAAAAAAAAAAAAAATAAAGAGGTGAAAATATTTTTAAAGCCTCGCAGAAATGGCAGATGCATTAGTGGAAGAATGGGATCGTGTACCAATGGAAACGATAAGCAACTCAATTTCCAGTGTGCCTCGTAGATCAGAAGTTCTTAGAGTTGCTAGAGGAGGCAATACCGTCGAATGAGGTGGCTTCGGACGATTTTTACAGTTTTTTCGCTGTAACTTTTTGAAAAATCAATGTTTTGACACGAAATTTTCACGAAATGTAGCACTCATATAAATGAATCGATTCGTGGTATAGAACTTTTGTTTTCATTTTTAGGAATTTTTTTTTTTTATTTTGAAAAGTGTCCGAAGTTACTTGGATAGGTGTGGTGAATTCGGACACCCCTTCAAAAGCGCATGAAAACGACATCCAGCTTCATCAGACTCAACTTCGGACATGAATTCGAATTTAAAAAAAAATGGAACATCAAAAATTCAATTTTTTGTCCGAATTTATTTTATCTTGGGAAATCGACTTCGGACGCGCATTGTTGACGATAGGAAATTTATTTCTCGTCTCAACAAAAATAATTCGGACACAACATGAGAAAAATATTTTTTATTTGAAAAAGATTCTTTAAGAATAAAATAAATAGTAACATTCTTACAAAAATAAAATAGCATTCTGCCTAAAAAATAATCAACAAAGTAGGAACTTACTTCATGTATCACAAAAAAACGAATAAAGCTATCTTATGACAATATCATTCAAATCACAAAATTTGTATTTTCCTCTTCTAAACTCAAGAAGCTAACTTGGAAGTGATTATCTCCCAATTGTGATAAAATTTGGGCAACATAAAGTTTATATTTCTTAGAATTGAATATAGGCACTTTGATTATTGCGAAATCATTTTTCTTCAAATTTTCTAAATCAGTCTTAGTAGAAATAGTTTCTACTCTCTCGTTAGTGTCCTCTTCTGACGATTCATTGGTACGATTGGTACGAACGTCCGCCAAGGATTTTTCTATAGGTCCGGCCCATGTCCGAAGTCTTCCGCAATAATGCTGATGTTCTAGTTATCGCCCTGTATAAAAAAATTCTATGAAATTTTCAAACAGATACATCATCAAAGCATTCTTTGAACATCACCCTTTGATTGAACATATGCCACTGAGCTCTACATTCAACACAAAAAGTGCTACAGCAGTTACTTTTTCACTTTTGAGAATTCGCAATAAAAATACGCTCATATAAATACCGACGTGAACAATTCTTCCTTACCTCTCTACGCAAACTACACTCTCGACCACCGGACTATACTAACAAGATTCAACCTGCAGAAGATTCACGTCTATCGCGATACCTGCTTCCGCGACATTCACGATTGAGAGCGAAAAGTACCGACTGTCCGAAATCACCGGTACCGTCCGAAGCCACCTCATTCGACGGTACCTACACGGTCGTCACAAAAAAATTCTAAAGTTGAAAAATCTCGATTTTGAACACCCTATATCTCTATAATCATTCTTGCTAGACCCCAAGTGTGATACATTGATCAAATCAGCTCTTCAGGGAGAATCTATAAAAATGAGAAATAGGGTGTTTCATTGAAAAAAATCAAATAGTACCCTGTAGATCATTTGTTCCGAGCACCCTGTATTTTTTGATGTTGCGGAAAAAAACTTTACTGAAAATCATTTGAGATGATATTCCAAATTTTGAAATCTGTACAAAAATAACTGAGCTAGAGGGGGGGGACATTCCTGGTGAGTCACCCTGTACATACGATACTCGCAGATAGAGGACACTTTGACCGTTTCAAATCACCCCACATTGATGTGTTCACTGTTAATCGTCTTTTATAACTGATATACAGGACGTTATCTTGATTATGGCAAAATCTTCATCTGGTCATAATTTTTGAACCACGTTGTATAATCTATTCATACTTGATAGAAATATTCCACTTATATTACACATCAAAACTAAATAACAATCGAGATCAGAATCCAGGTCCGTCTTAAGGAAAAAAAGAAAACTCCTTTATTTCAAAAACAACACTCTGTGTGCCAAAATTTTGTGGATCTGTTTCGATATTTGAAAAGAGCAGGAAAACAAATGAAGCGACCAATTTTTTACAACCGCCCATCCGATTTGACAGATGTTTTATTATTATTTTCTGATATACTGGGCTCCATTTTGAGTCATTTCAAAGTTCAACATCATTAGAGTCAAGTAGAGAGATCTGTTCGTTCGACAGAATAGAGTGTGGTTTTGGAAATGTTATTCTTCACTATTAATTCATGAGCTGCGGTAAAGTAGGCTATGCAAAAAAATCTGATATTCTGACAGGTCATCACTAGTTTAATATTATTGGTAACGTTAAGATAATAAAATTGTTGGTGCTTGTATATTGGGTTGTTACATTTCAAAGTGTTCATAATTCTGCCTCAACACACACACTCAATGTTACCAATAATATCACACTGGTGATTATGATCTATCAGAATGTTTAATTTTTTTTGAACAGCCAAGTTCACCGCAGCTTATGAATAAATAGTGGAGAATAAAATGAGTCCTCGAAAATTTCTAATCATTGACAAGCTATTCTGTCAAACGATAACAAATCTATCACACGTTCCAGTTTGTGCCTTAGAACCTGAATCACCCTGTATTCACATCGTCATTGCGAATAAAAAATCTTGTTATCTGAGGTGATATACAGGGTGACCCTGGGTTGAACCGCCATACGTTTAGGATCAGTTTTTTAGGCAAAAATAAGACTTCTTCTTCCTATAAGCATGTGTCCTAACTTGCTTCATTTTAGAGATATAGGGTGTCAAAGTTTTTAGAAAAAAATCAGTTTTTCATTACTTACTCAAAAACCTTTGGGCTGATTTTGATAAAACTTGACATGCTCATTCGAGGTAATAATGTGGGATCCTGTTTACTGTTAACTTAAAATGAAATTATCATTTCCAGTAGCGTCCCAGAGGGGAAAGGATTATCCAAGCAGCACGAAAGATCACACCAGCAGAGTGCCGTGCAGCTGCAGAATCGTACGTCGTACGTAGGTGCAAACACAAAGATGGTGGTCATTTTGAGCAGTTTTTGTCGTAATATCAGTTGGATAGTTTTATCCTGCTAAAATGAATAAAGATAATAAACAAATTGATGAAATGAAATAGAAGAGTTGTATTTTTCATTTTTTTTATCGCTTGGAGCGCACGGAAGGGAATCTCTATAATGTTCAAAGAACATCGTGCGTTCCTAGGGAGGATAAGGGATAGGAGGTAGGTATTGGAATTTTTTTTGAACTTCTGGAGATTATATGTTTAATTTAAAAAATAAAGATACAAATCAAACAGTGGCGTACAATGATTTATCATAATATTAGATAGATTGTCCTCTGGGTCGCTACTGGAAATAATAATTTCATTCTAAGTTAACAGTAAACAGGATCCCCTCATTACCTCAAATGAGCATGCAAAGTTTTATAAGGTTTTTGAGTAATCAATGAAAAACTGATTTATTTTCTAAAAACTTTGACACCCTATATCTCTAAAATGAAGCAAGCTAGGACACATGCTTATAGGAAGAAGAAGTCTTATTTTTGCCTAAAAAACTGATCCTAAACGTTTGACGGTTCAACCCTGGGTCACCCTGTATAGCTTCCAACCTTACCTCCGCAATTCTGACGCATTCACCAGCAACTCTCCACCTTTCAGGTACTACTACGACAAGAACATCATGTCGAAGGTGCACGGCAAGCGGTACGCCTACAAGTTCGACTTCCATGGCCTGATGGCCGCCTGTCAGGCGCAGGCGCAGGGCCAGCCCGACATCCACCCGCCCTTCAAGTACCAGCCGCACCAGAGCGAGCTAGGCGCTGCCCTTTACCCGGCGACGCACGCGGGCGCCCCGCGGCTGCCCGGCGTGCTGCCCCCTGCGACCGGGCAGTTCTCGGCGCATGGCTACTGGCCGTACTCGCCGGGCGGGTTCGACCCGAGAGGGCCGCCCTTCAATTAGGTGAAGCGGCAAGAAGGAGAGAGTTTCTGAATGTGAAACCAGTGATATCGAATATTCCCTACACGTGTAGTTTTTGACTACATTTTTGGTGTGTGTATAGGGATGTATATAGGGATGGATGTATAGGGATAGATTTTTGGGTGATCCAGAATTATGGGGAATTTTCTGTCGTCGCACTAGGTCGAACTTTTTCGGCAGTGAGCGCGATTTGCGTGGTCCACTGAGAATTTCAAGAGCGATGATGAAAAAATTTACGGATAATCCAAAATTACATAAAAGTTATATTCACATTCACAAATTCTAATTTCCTAAACAACGCACTTCATTGACAATGAACAACATATATTCATCCATATAAGACTGTAGCTGGCAGTGTTTTCACAGAGAATGGATGGATCCATTTCGTGTGGACCAGCGAAACCAAATGTAATATCAATGATTTTACTTTTTGTTAAAACAATTCTGACATTCCTGACAAGCACCCAAATAAAACTTATATAGGCTATATATATTCCGAATTCAACTGACAGTACTGAATCTACTGATTTTTCATTCCAAAATAAAAAAAATCATTGAATATGATAGAGACTTATATGAGCAGACATAGGCTATATTCCGAATTCAACTGATAGTACTGAATCTACAGATTTTTTATTCCGAAATCAAAAAAATTCACTGAAAGTGACATATACTTGTGAGCAGACATACTATCCATTCCAACTATTTCGACTCAACATTCTGCTGGAATTGCTGACTATCAAAAGGTAGTGTGGCTTCAGTGAACTGTCATTATTTTAGAGGGGGACATAATGGCACATTAATTTTCGTTGTTTTTTAAAAATTAAGTCTTTTATCTCACCAACAATAAATCAATAATATCATTTTTAATATCAGAAAATGCCGCTTATTCAAATAATTGGCCAGAAAAACGAAAAACTACAGAAGTGACAACCTGATAACTGAAAAATATCAGTAGCTGATCAACTGCTGCTGATTTCTGATGAAAATGTGTTCCAAATTACAGCAGATTCTCAGCAGAATCAGTGAATCTACTGATAGTACTGACCAGTTGAATTCGGACAGAGACAGTGTAGTCGTCAGCTCTGACCTGACATGCATCGAAGTCACGGATAGTCTGATCATATTGTGTTCTAGCTCGAATTACAAAAAAATCCTATACATCAGTCACATCATTTATAATACACAGGGTGAGTGATGATAAATACTTCTTTACAAAAGGTAGTTTGAAATTCATCATTCTATAAATTTCTCCATCAATATTTTCAGTTCTGGTTCATCATTTTCGCGAATACGTGGAAATAATTCATGAAATCAATATTACTTCATTCAGATTTTTCCCGTATTGTCCAAAAGATATTGGGACTCCTGACCAGTCATAAAAGTTATCACTTTCGACGTGTGGTACTGAGCACACGAGTTTTTTCATTTTGCTTTATGGTATTGAAAAAAATAGTTATTTATTATACAAGGGAAAAAAGTAGTAGATTTTAGCTCCAGGTTGTGTTGTCTCCCGACGCGTAGCGGAGGGAGACAAAAAACCGTGAGCTAAAATCTAATATTTTTCCCGTGTATAATACACTATTTTTTTCTGTGACAGAAGGAAGGACGAATCAATATTGAGAAGATATTACATTATTTCGAAATCTAAAAATTATCGACGTGAAATTTCAAGTTTTTAACAGTAGGGACACCTGCGTTTTATAGGCATCTTCATCATTCTTTTGAAGTAATCAAATATCTGATGTCACTTCTGTCAGTTCAATTCTGTGATTTGATTTTAAAAAATTGCGAATTCAGTAGTTGTTTAGTAATATACGAAACCGCGAAGTTGAATGGAAGATAAAAGGACTTGCAGTTCTTTCTCGGAGACGGTATTATTGACTCATTTTTCGGAACTATAGCACAACAAAAGCCATTAACAGAGTATATATATGTGATATATATCCGGGAAAGAAGTACTCACTTTTTTCCCACGGGAAAAAAGTAATTTATGAAAAGTGACATTTTATAACCTGCCAACAGATATGAAATGCCAAACTTTTTTCCCGTCACAGAAAAAAAGAAATTTCACTGAACGAGTGAATCGATTTTCAGAAACGCTAGAAATGCATAGGAAAATCATATCGCTTTTTGATGAGGGAACATTTGACGTGTAGATCCATTTTCGATAAGCCACCCTGAATGTTTTTCTCGTTGTTTTTTTATTTACAAAGCAAATATCACTGTTCCTAAATTTCTGCTTTTTTCCTCCATATGAAATATACAGGATGGTTCATTTAAATTGCAAAATAGTCAAAAAGTTCTCATTATCTATTTTGATAATAATTTACAGATTATCACCTCCGTGAAGTTATGCCACTGGTTATTGCCAATTTGAATCGCCAAATAAAACGAGATTTCTAGCATCCCGTAAAATCTAACAAGAATATGAAACAAGAATATGAGGAGGTACATTTGGATAGACCTTAAGATTTGCCAGGTGAATAATTTGAAATGAATGGTCGATGGTTATTTCTTCATTTTCGAAAATATTTGAGGTATACAGGGTGATCCACGGTGGATGATCTATTAGAAGTATCTGGAGAACGAAAAGACAGAACATTCTGAAAATTGGGATGCTTCGATAATTAAACATTCCCTATCCGTCTAAGATATTTCCAACGATACAGTATTGCCACTTCTATCAGAAACAACTAGCAACTTCGTTATTTTGAATGAAGCACCCTGTATTTTATTGCATTTCGAGATTCCTCCTGAAGAGCTGATTTCATTGATGTATCACACTCAGGGTCTAGCAGTTATGATTCCAGAGATATAGGGTGTTCAAAATCGGGATTTTTCAAATTGTAGGATTTTTGTGTCGAAACTATCGATCAAAACGGCTCACATATTCCCATCTTAACTTTCGATTCACTATCTACTGACATTTAATTGGAACAGATACAGGGTGATCAGAAATCTGAATCTTGAAGCACCCTCTATCTTTTCCAATTAAATTCCAGTAGATAGTAAATCAACAGTTAAGATAGGGATATGTAAGCCGTTTTGATCGATAATGAATAGTTTCGAAAAAAAAAATATCCTAAAACCGAAAAATCTTGATTTTGAGCACCCTATATCTCTGTAATCATTCCTGCTAGACCGCAAGTGTGATACATTGATGGAATCAGCTCTTTAGAAAGAATCTAAGAATGCAATGAAATACAGGGTGTTCCGTAAGTTGCTAGTTGTTTTTGATAGAAGTGGCAACACTGTATCGATGAAAATATTTTAGACGGATAGGGAATGTTCAATTATCAAAGCATCCCAATTTTCAGAATGTTCTGTCTTTTCGTTCTCCAGATACTTGTAATAGGCCATCCACCGTGGATCACCCTGTATATGTATGTACCTCTGCTTATTTTTGCGTCTTCTCGAAATATTCGAGTTGTACATATGGGTATATTATGTATGAATGAATCGAGAATGAATTAATCTTTCTGGACGCTATTTCAGAAAATATTTTGCAGAAACACTAATAACTTGTAATTTTGAACTTCTTCCCGAAGAATAAAAATATGAAGTATTACAAATTGAGGCAATGGTTGTTGTTGAAAAGTCGTAACTATTCAACCATCGTACCTACTATTTTCATTTATGAAATTGAAAAGGATGTTTGTATCATAGAATTATTCAAAAAACAATTCCTGATGTGCACATTGTACAAAAAAACTTCGATTTGTATGTAACTTAACCTCTTCATAATAGGCTGTTGAAAATAAAACAAATGTTAGTAGTTTGAGGTTGTTTTCAATTGTCTACCCGCTACCCTAATCAGGACAAATATCCTATTCTATCAACACAACGTGATATACAGGGTGTATCCAAATGACACCGAAAAAATTCGAGGGGTGTTCCCTTGTGACAATCTAGCAAATAAAGTTCATATAAACATGTGTCCTAACTTGCTCCGTTTTTGAGATACAGGATGTTGAAGTTGAAAGTATTAATTGTTTTTATTTATAACCCCCCTGTATAAGCTTTCATGGTGCCAAAATTCAGTATGGATGGAGAATGATGAGAAAGCCCCAAAATTTCAAAATGATTCCAGTTGAGGTTATTGAGTAATCTCAATGGAAGTCTTGAACACCTACATTACAATATTATGAGTCAAATCGAATTTTTATTGTTTCCTCAAAAACTGTAGTTTGAAGAAACCTTGAATAGCGATCTGCATTTAAAGTGCCTTCGTAGAAGTGAGGTCCAATAGGAATCCGTTTATTAATGCCAAAAATTCGCTGATTATCATCATTTGTAGTCGTCTTTCCTCTATTTCTTTTAGGTTTGACGAAGCTGCCATATTCTCTTAAGTTTTTACATATACTTGGAAAGGTTTTTGCGGGTTTTTGCATCGGGGACTCTTCTATGATCAGAATATTTCTTATTACAAAATGTGACACTATCTCTGACACTACTGACAACATCTGTCGCTTGTAATTGCACTAAAAACAATTGCAATAACAATGATTGCCATAGTAACTAATATTCATGGCATTCTTGTAAAAATCATCCAAAATCGCATTTTTTGTCAATCAAGAAATATTTACTATAAACTGGTATAACTCAGAAATGAGTACGATGAATTAGTTCGAGTAAATAACAAAGAAGTGTATAAATAACATGTACTTTTGCGTGCGTGTAATTTCAGAGTCACTGCAATCGATTTATATTTTCGACGCGTCACGACGCTCAGCTCCTAGTAGGCGTTGAATTTTTTATACTTTGAAAACAATCTACTTGACCCTCCATTGACTACTTTTTACAGAAATCAAATATTCCTATTCGTTTTCGAGATATTGGCGTGCGGAGTTTTGAGTGAAAAACCCTGTATAGGGTGTTCCATTCGAAAAAAATGTCGCTAACATCATTACTAAAACATGGATCATCCTGTATATTCAATTTTTTTCTTATAAATGTGGCGAATCGAAAATAAAATCGATCTGTTCCAGTAGATTCCTCAGGAATGCATAGTTTGGCTAGAAATGAATGTATTCAGTACTTTACGTATGGAAAGCTACCGATTTCATTATTTTCACAGAGTATGTCGTCAAGAGCTTATACTATCTTTATATCGAGAATCAGTCGCAAGAAAT